TTTTTTTTTTTTTTTTTGGTCCATATTCTGAGAAATAAGTGGAAAGAATAATTGTAATTTTTAAAAATACTCTAAGAACAGGAAAGACAGTAAAAAAATTAAAGACAAGTGAGGGTAAGAATCTTGCTTCAACAGTTCAATCTGAAGACAGTCGACAACTATAATCGTCGTCGTCACCATTATCGAAAAAATTATTTTTATCTATAAGTTCACCATTGCCTATATTTATCATAAATTGTTAGCAAAAATGTGCTCATCATCGTACTTAATAATAGGAACACAAGCCCTGAACATCAGTTTACCATCTGCTTTAGTTGCTTAGTTTTGTCAGCGTTCAGTAGGAAATTAGCAAAGAACTAAATTTTTCAACTTTAATCACTGGTGTACTTTTTCTTTGCCTTTCTCCGTTGACGCTTTTTTATGCACTTATAAAGGCCTAAATCAAATAAAAATTTGAAAACAGTTTCGTACAACTCTACTCCTTTCCTCTTAGTAAACATAACCAAACTACAGAACCGTCAAAAAAAAAATCCAATAAACTTTTAAAACTTTTCCTTCTTTTTCTTTCCTGCATCAAGTATTATAATATAAGATATTTTAAGCCGACAATAAGTAGTCATATTTGGTAAACAATTTTTAGCGCATTAGCAAGAGACCTGACGATAAGTGCAAAAAAACTCTACAAAAATTATTTTTCTAAACGTTCGGCATCAACTTTTTTCCAAAATTCTGCTCGTCGATCCTCATATTCGTCTTTCATCAATATACCATCAGTCGATATGTTAAGATATTTATACGTGTTATCATTGCTTACTGGCTGCCAAATCCTTTCCTCGGCAGTACCATTTGGATCACTGAAAAATACTGCTGTGAATAGTCAATATTATAGAATAGATATTGTTGAAAAAAAATTTTTTTGGCGTCTATTGCAATCACCTCTGTTAATGTTTTCCAATGTATCACAAACAGAAACGTCGATAATTATTTTCAGTGTATCCCCTATTAATTACGTACACATTTTTGCTGTTCAAAAAATTCATTCCAAGCAATAAAACATATACTGATTGTAGAGACAATAAAAGAAAAATATCTGCGAAGCATACCCATATTTGGCAAAATTAGTGAACAACGTAATAAATCGGTCAGAAACTTTCTCATCTGCAGGTGTCATTTCAAACTGGCCAAACATAGATTTTCCAAACAGAAATGGTATCTCTGAGGAATGTGTAGCTGCTGAAAGTTATGTGAAAATTCAAGTAAGTCATGTTTTTATCTTAACCCCAATAGATAAAGATATGCAGAAAAAATAAGGTTGATGATGCTTTTTGATGTGGTTTAATAAGAAAGTCAGAACAGCTTTTCCTAACCTTGAAAAGGCATAGGAACTAAAAGCCGGAATAATCTGGATGATTTCGGATTGAAATGTGAAAAACTGTACAAATATACTGTATGTCCTGCTGCTGTCATATCGCTGGCAAACTGTTCCACACCGTTATTGATACCCACGTCGCCAATTAACTTAAATTAGAAAATTTTTTTGATTTATGAGCTATAGAAAATAATTATCACTAAACATTTATGTGAGTAAAATGAACGTAAAATACTTCATAAAAAAAGAGTTCAATTCTTCCACTCATTACATTAAAGGGTATCGATGTTGTTAGGAATAAACTACCTTGGTATGACCCTTTATGATCTCATCTGCAGTACCATTATAATTGTACAGTTTAGATGCCTCATTTCTCAGGTCTTCAGCATTTTTATACTTGCCGTCCGATATGAAAGCTGATAGCAACTTGTCTTTTCTTTTCACTGCGTATAATTTTTTTGCAATACCAACTAGAAACATTTATAAAATAGTTCGGTGAAATTTCCAAATTAAGTAATATCAGAGCAATTTTAACCATGTAAAAAGCGAAATTTTTAAAAAAATTTTTGCTCCAACAATGTCATTTTCTTCCACTCAATTAAAATTATGCACTTTCAGACTTACTGAACAGTAATCCTTCAAATTCGCAAGTTCCAGTAATACACAGTTTTCTAGGTGTCTTTTTACGCAGAATTGAGATTGATTCCGGCAAGAAGTCTCCGTCAACAACCGGCGCGAAATGCAAGCTAAATGGATCTTCCGTTGTTCCACTTTCTAACCCCGTTGCCAACTTTTTGGCTGGTACTGTTTTTAAGAATTCCATTAGGTTTTTATTCACTTCATCTTCGTTTGCTAAAATACGAGACGCAGAGAAAAAGGTAAAAAATTTTTCTGTCACAACTTCTTCCTCTGTCTTTTTACGATAATCAAAAAGATATAGCAAATAATTTCCTCTATTTTCTTGTTAATGCAACTATATTATGATGAATCCATCAAATTTACTACTTCTGCAAAGAATAAACTTTGTATGTAAACTGCGGGATTACCATTAGCTGGGTGAACCCAACCCAGCTTTTCTGCACGATTGATCAAAGACTGCCGTATGAATGATGGATCTCTGGTGGCCCATGAACAGCTTGCTGTTCCGCCCATTGGAATCACTTTGTTAAATAAACCTGAAACGAAAACAACAAACTGCTGCCAAATGAGAACAGAAGCGTTAATTTTGTATTCATTAAAAAAAAGGTGAAATTACATAACGTTGTTGCACGCACTCATAACTATAATAATTTATTCAAATGACCAAGAAAGCATAGAAGCATTTAATTGCAGCAGCAACTTATCATCTATATCTGCTAACGCAATACAACAAACTGAATTATTAAAATATAAGACCCTTTTATTATCGATGTAACTTGAATTTCAAGTGATAAACAAAAAAAAATTTTCATTTATTTTACCATTTGTTTGCGGTGACAAGCAAAGCATGTCTACAGATGCTCCGCCAGCACTTTGTCCAAATAAAGTTATATTTTCTGGATCACCCTTGAAATGTCGTATATTGTTTTTAACCCATTTAAGCGCTAGTGCCTGATCCCATAAACCAAGATTAGACGTAGAATTATAGTCACCAGTCGTACCGAAACCCAAAATACCTAACCGGTACTGCAGTGTTACCACAATAACTTCTTTAAAACAAAGAAGCCTAAAAGCATTTCAGGTTATTTTTTTGAGGAAAACCGTATTTGTAAAAGTCTCTTTTCAGTCACTTGTTTGAAGTACCGTTCTAATACAGTTTGAAACATTAAAAAATCTTTTTTGCTCTTGACTTGAGTATATTCAATAATCTAGTCTACTATCACTTTTACTATCTGACTTGCATATATTTATATCGCCATAATAAGCTGAACCATGAACTGAGAATCCACCACCATGAACAAATACCATTACTGCTCTTCCATTTGGCTAAAAATTATCACATAGTCAACCTCAACTGACATCATTTTGACAAAAAAAAAATTAAAACAAAAAAATTAAATATCACGTGATAATTCTACGTAACTAACAAATGTCATTGCAAAAAAATATAAAAATTGTTTACTTAAAAAGTTCAGTTGCATTCAACGTGTTACCTGTTCTGCAGGAGGCTCCCAAGCTGGAGCAAATACATTTAAATACAGGCAGTCTTCACTGCTCTGAACAGGTGGGCCAAGTCGATCAAAAAGCATTTTCTTCTGCACTGCACGAGGAGCATGTTTAAAACAGTGTAAGACTTCTTTCCAAGGTTCTACTGGTTCTGGTTTCTTCAATAAACACATTTCAGATATTTATTTCAAAACTCTTACCTAATCTACGTCTTACAATAAGCTGTCTTACAAACCTTACAAAATGCTAAAACTTCTAATACACAAAAAATGATAGAACTAAGCCTAAAACTTACGCTTTATTTATAGTATCTTTCCACTCTCCCTCTATTGAACCCTTAACAAATAATCTGGTCTAGGAACAGTCCACTTAATGAAACATTTAAAAACTATTCAAAACAAACTTCGAAACGTAGAGGTCCAACTGGAGGTTTAGCAAACGGTATACCCAAAAATGAATCTACAAATCTTCCATCACCAAAGTAATAGCGTTTCCCAACTACTGGGCCGGACTCTGTTTTTACTGTATCTGATCGTAACTTTGTTTTTCCAAAATGAGAACCGCCGAATATACCCATTAGTTTTTGTTCCTTTTCTTCTTCACTAATCTATAACTGACGAACAGATACATAAATAAAAATTACAGAAATACTGTACCTCCTCATAATTTTCATTAACACACCTCAAAAAAACATATATAATAAAATTTTTGTATTTAAGAAACTTTAAAATAGCTACAACACAAAAACAGTTTAAAAGAAAGCGATAAATTGCCGCACAAATCAATAAAGCTTTTATTGAACCGGTCAAAAAAAAAAAAACGACTGGCAAACGATACTCAAATTAGCAGTTGTACATACAACTTAAATGTTTAAAATTAAAGTCAGTGATGAGACTATTAATGCCGGAAAAAAAAACAATGAACAGTTAATGTAACTGAAATCAAAATCCGGTTACAAAAATAATTTAAGAGATTTTTTTGCAGACAGTAAATAGTAATTAACCAACTTTAAGTAGCAGAGCTGCAGAGAACAAAATTTTGCCAAAAAGGTAGTTTGTTCTTCGGTTTTTCTCTTCACTTTTTAACTTTTACCATTGCTTTCTTAATCTGGTGACAGATGCATGTACAATCGTTGTAGCCAATTGAAAAAAAAAAACAAAGCAGAAAGAAGTAATAGAATTTAAAAGTTACTATCAATGTTAAGAAAAACTGAAGATTTTTTAAAGCAACGTAATTTTTGTAATCAGAATCATTGATCACCCGTCGTGGTCTGTCTGGTCATTAACCGCCCCGAAACCAAAGCACATTAGCTTTGAAACCGGAAATTCAGTCCTCCTCCAACATTGTTGTAGCATGCAACGAATATGCGCAAGAAAAAAAGGTTTCAACCCAGAGACGATTTTTTGGACGGCCTTAATAATGTCAACAAAACGAAAAGAACTCCATTTCTATTTCCCCTTCGTCCCTCCCCCAATGCACTAAACCCCTTTCCCACTCCTCCTTCTCTCTTTGTTTTTTTTCCCCGGCTCCCCACCCCGTATTGCCGGTCTTCTGCAATGAGGCAAATATTACTAATAGCACTTTTGATATATTTGTAATCTGGACAGAAGATTTTCTTCAATGATCCCACTTAGTGCACAGAACTTAAGCACTATCTTTTAATACGTTATAATACTTATAAAATTCACTTTCTCTTTTCTCCAAGAATTCTTTAAAAAGAAAACAACAAAAATAAGATGAAATTTTAGAGGCACAATACAGTTGACCTTACAAATAACTGGTCTGAAATTTTTTAAATTCTATTTCGTTTATGATGAATCACTGTGGTTTTTGCCCGCTTTTCACGGCGCATAAGCGAACAAGTAACAAACAAAAGAACAAAAAAAGAACAAAAACAATGACAACAATAATAGGTAAAACAAAAATCAAAACGAAGTAGAAAATAAGAAAAAAAACATCTATAATTACAGATGTATAAAGTAACGGTAGAAACAATGAAAAAATTATATGAGAAGATGTAGAACCGTTGTTTCAGCGATAAACAACAACTACATTTGATTCGGTGGCAGTGATGGTGGTGGTAGTGATGAGGGGTTTTCAAGAAAAACAAATTAACTCATTCCAAAATAGCCATCTGTCAGAGTGAAGAAACATTAGAGAACATTTTCTGCTTACCCCTCCCCATTCCCACCCCCCTCCATCGACTTCCTTGCCTTCCGTCCACCCTAATCAACAGCCTTCGGCCTCCATAAAACAGGTGCACTATGAAATTTGAACTTTTAGGCTTTTTTCATCGTCATCCCTTCTCCGCCTAAGCTAGTATACAATTTTCTTTTCAAAATAACACTCTATCAAGACTAATATTCAAGTAAATAATAAAGCAAATTTTCCATGTAGTTGATGTCGTCGTTCTAAAACATTGAAAGAAGTGCTTTGTAAATGAAGAATTAAACCACAGTGTCGGAGCAGCAGCAGCAACACAACTGCGAATGTGCGGAAAAAACTGGAAATTGTGGAGCATAAAAATTTGCCCAATGATGACAGCAAG